TAATAATAATAAAGAAGACAAAAACATGTTTCGTAGTGCTTTCTTGCTTTTTGTTCTTAAAATCCTTACGAGATGTTCGAAATTTTTACCTCATTCCCTTGTTTGAAAATTTAAGAATAAAAGACCCGAAAATATTTAATAATCATTTATTAAAGTAAAAGTTTTATATGAAATTTAATTTTTCAAATTAAATATTCAAATTTTGATAAAATATGATAAAATAATATTTTTATCTATATTTTGAAAAAAACTAAAAACTAAAAATAGAAATTAGAAACAATGAATTAATTTTGTTATTTACAAAATTTCTACACAATTTTAGGAATGTTTCTTAAAAATGAGAAACGAAACGAAAACATGATCATGTATTTTAACGTGGAAAATAAACTTGCCTAGAATATAAATACGTTGAATTATGACATCGTTTTTCTTTATATTTCTAGATTATAATATTTAAGTGTACGGTGGAGATTTGACGAATCCCTACATGAGCAAAAATGGCGTTTTTTCACTTGTTGACCAAATTAGTAAATACAAGTCCTTCGTATTTAATGCACTTCATTTCATGAACCACCCATGTGAATCTCACTTTTTAGATGGAAATTAAATCAAATTTAATACCCATTTTTTCATACCAATGGCTTCCTTGGAAAAGGACATTTAAAACCATTTTTCTGACTTTGGCCTCCTACGATTTAATTTGGTTCATTATCTAATCATACTGAATCGGGTAGAAAGTTGATTTAGTAAAAGACATTTTTTTAGAGGATGATGACTTGATACGGAGTATCCCAATAAGCAAAAATAATACAGACGATAAGTTCGTATGACACTATGGCAAGAGAGGTGTCTATATACGCACTCAAAAGTAGATCGAATGATATTATTGTTGATTTTTAGAAGAGATTAATATTATTGTTGATTTTTGGCAAACTAATATCCTAGCTAGAAAAGATAAAGATTTTCATGTGGAGAGCATGTCSGAGCTCTCTCGCCCTACCAAACTCAATGTGTATAAAAGAAAGGTAGTCAATGAATGCACATGCCACAACACAAATGCAAAAGAAAGTCGAGTCTAAAACCTATGCAATTTGGACTTGTAAAAAGGTTAAAGGGGCATGGGCTAAGTGGAGCTCGACGACCTCGTTTATTAGATGCAGCTTATATTTATTTTCTCTCTTTTGTATCTCTCTTTTGTAGGGTGGTGGAAGAACTGAATCATGATGAACTAAAAGTCTTTGTCATTTGTTACTTTAATTTGATTACCTTGAAAATAAAATATATTATCTAGTTCTTTTAAATCGTTAAAAATAAAACAATACATAGGAGTATCATACATCTATATTTATATTTGTCATTTTGATGGTGTCTAATTTAAAAATTAAACATTTTTTAATATGGATTTTATTTTAGAAAGTTCAAAATATAATATAATTTATTTTTTATTTTGAATAGGACTAATTTAAAATATATATATATATTATTTTAATTTAACATTGGTTTTTGAAACTAAGTATCTTAACATTATTTTTATTTTAAGTTCACTAGTTTAAAGTTATATATTTTTACAAACTATAATTATTTAAATATGTATTTGAGAAAATAATAATAATAAATTTGCAAYGTTGAAATTTAATTATTTAAACTGAAATTTTAAAATTTMTYWWATATCAAGACACAATATACATAAAATTGAATTATAATTTATATATTTTATAATAATTAAAAATTATATATATCTATGAATTAAAAAAATGTATTTGCATTACAATTTAGAAACTTCAATATTAATAATTGTGAGTATGGAGAGGTGTAACTGGAACAATTAAATGGTAAAAAGAAAAAGTTGAATAATTGAAAATCAGAAGAAAAAAATATCGGAATAAGAAATGGTAGTAAAAATGTCAATTTTAAAACTTCAAGATCAAATACACACCTACTACAATTCATGGACCAAAAATGTAATTTTTTTTAAAAAAATACATATATATAATTTTTTGAGGAAAAAAAATTTTAGTAGGTGTGTATCTGATCTTGAAGTTCCATCAAAAATTATATATGTATTTCCTACTATATATATATGAGAGAAATGGTAGAACCAATCAAAATTGAGGAAAATTTTGATGGAACCCTATACATATATAATTTTTAAAATTTTTGTTAGTGAGACAGGTATAGAACATTTAACTTAATTTAAACACATTAACCTTTAACCTTTATCAATGCTCAAATTGACTATTAATTTTAATTTTTGAATGATTCTGAAAATGATAACATGTCATTTAGATATATTCCTCAATTAACAAAGTAAGAATCAATAGGAAACTCTTTTTTTCTTAAATCAAGAATATTTTTTTCCTTTTTATATTATCTTTCAAGAGTGGAGGTTAAAATATCTGACTTCGAGTTTACCTGTCTTGCCCAATTGATAGAGTTATTCAACATTTTTTTTCTTGAGGAAGAATAGAACAAAATAAATTAAAGAGAACAATCTCAACTTGCAGTTCAAAGTTAGACAATCACGTATGAGCTTTTCAATGTGTCGGGTGGGACTCTCCTCCAGCCAGATTTATTCCCGACGCTTTCTTCGAGCATAATTATTCAACTTTAGTGGGAAAGAAACTCATAAATTTTCATTTTTCCACTTCATTACATATATATAACTAATAAAATAAAATAAAAATATTATGCATTTGCATTTGATACTCAAAATAAAGGTAAATGTTAGTTTGTCATTTCAAATTGACCACTATCACCCAATGGGCCTAACTTTTAAGACCCAATTTATTATTGTATATCTATTAGCCGTTACCATTGCCCCACTCCGCACCGTTTTGTCGACGTGGCATCCGAAAATTTGAAAACTAACTTTTTAAAGTGATATTAAAACCAAAATCGACCGTTGGGTTCATACGCTCCTCTGTCAGTTTCCTCATCTGAGGTGAATTTTGAGCTTCCATTCCACGAGAGAGAAGAAGAAGAAGATTGACGATAATGGCCGACAATTGCTTGTTTACTGAAGAAGAAATGGCGATTGATGAGGCTGTCGGCCATCCGCAAGCTTACGGCAAGCTCTGCCGCGACCGACATGTCGGATTTTACACCCACGGTCCTCCTTTCATTTTCACGCCTTACAGTCTGAAGAAACGAGAGGTAGAAACGAATCTCTTTTGAAATTATGGTGTAATTTTACGGAAATTTTTGGGAATAAGAACGAACTGAGCTGAGATTTTAGTGTTCTGTTGATTGAATTCCTCCAAATGAGATAATTAAATTCTTCGATTAAGCATAGTAGGGATGAAGCCCTTTCTGCTCTTTCGGAGAAAATTATGCATGATTAGTCCTTGTTCTTTCTCTTTGGCAAATTTTTGTGGATTTCTTGACTAGTCCCCTTCAAATTGTTCGTTTTGAAGGGAATTTTTTAAGATGACATGAATTATGCAAGAAAGTAGAATTCCCCAATCTCTAGTATTTTGAGTATACGAGTAGTTGGGAATTTTTTGCAGAAACCCGAACTTCTCGTTCTGAATCCGATTTTTGTTGTAAATTGTGCTCGAATAACATTATTATTAGTAAACTGTGATTTCTCATTATGAATCTTCATTACAATCGTGTGGGTCTTTGCATAATGTTTCAGGCCGCAGCAGCAAGGGAATTAGATCAGATGTTTCCTATAATAAATCCAAAGGCAAAGCCTACTGCCAAGCCTAAGCTTTTTGTCAGCCTCTTGTGGAAGCAACTCCATCATCTCGGGTAAATAGCTGAGTTCCAATTCTAGTCTTTCTAAAAGCTTCTGTGTGTATGCCTTTTTTTAGATCAATCTGATTTGTGCAATCTCAGGAATGCTGGCTTCGATCCTGCAGTAATTCGAGTCGACCATTACGGCAATGTTCTCTATTATCATGCTGATACGGCTTCACCGCTTGCTTGGGATATTGATCATTGGTTTCCTTGCTCAAGTACGCTTCTAAAATTGTTACTCTCTCTCAAGAATATGAATGAAATATCAAATTTKCTGAAATCTATCCATTTGAGCTTTTAGATTCACTGGTGAGAGATCATATCCTATGATAATCACTTGTTGGGTGTTGTGCTAATTTCCATGAGGGTGAGGATTAAGAGTATAATAAAGGACTAAATTTACTGTAGGTCCCTAATGTAGCGGCTTAAGCTTTTCAGTTTAGTAGTGAGTTAATGGTATCTCATAATTTTCTTGCTGAAATACAGGAGGAGGACTGACTGTTCCTAGCAATTTACGGATACTGCAATGGCAAGCCTGCAAGAGGAAACATCACAAGTTAGAATTCCTAGTTCCATGGTGGGATTTTCAATTGGGAATCTCTGTAAACCAGTTTCTATCCATCTTTGCTTCCTCCAACTCAGATTTCAGGTTGGTTCCTTTAATTTATTGATTTATGTTCATTTTGGTTCATAAATATTAAGGTGGTGATCCTATACGTAAGCATTTCCATAATATAATGACGGCAGGCGCAGGGCATTTTCATTTTTGTTCTCTGAAGGTGAAAATGAAGAGCTGAATGCTTCACAGACAGTTGAATCTCATTCTTTTCCACAACATTTCATGGAATCCAAAGAGCGACACGGCTTTGCTCCGGCTGCTATCGTTTTATCTCGAAGAGAATGTTATGATTCTCCATCACCTTTGAGATCATTGGACTACAATAGGCAACCAAGACCAAGTATCCCTATAGTTGGTTGGTTCCTGAAACTCTTTCACGCTCTTGGAAAGTTGAAAATTAAATTTTTTACTAACAGTTTAAATTTGAATCTGTCAAATTGAATAACTTTTGGGTTTTTTGATTAATGTTAGCTTCAAGGAAAGTGAAACCTGAACTTCTTAAAGAGAATGAAAACCCGGACTTCATTACGAACCCATATCAAGCCATTGTCATGGCCAGAGATTCTCTAAGGCAAAGAGAAGAAAGGGGAAAGCTGAAGGCAGAAATAGAGAAAGTAGATGATGAAGTGAATGATATGAAGCTAAATAATGAAGAAGAGAAGCTCACCATTCAGGACCTGGAATTGAAACTAATTAAACACAGGAGAAGGGCCGAGAAATGCAGGCGATTAGCTGAGGCGCAATCGTCCTACAGAACCATGCTGGAGAAGATGATCCGAGATACCATGCACCAGTAAGATGAGATAATTAATGCACTCGTTGCGAAAATCAACTCAAAAAGCAGATTATTGTTCAAATAGACTAAACTTTGTAATTTGATCGTTTTCTTGTAGGAGTGTTATTTACAAGGAGCAGCTGAGGCTGAACCAAGCAGCGAGTAATGCGCTAATGGCCAGGCTCGAAGCGCAGAAGGCAATTTGTGACGCTGCCGAGAAGGATCTTTACCAGAAGTACAGACAGAGAGATGAGCTAGAGAAACAGTTGAGGCCTGAATACGAACAAGTTCGAAAAAGATCAAGAACAGACGATATGTTATTGGAAGAGACAAACTACAAAACTCCTACTTTACATTTGCCAGGAATCAAGCCAAAGACACCTACACACAAAGAGCTGAGATTATTTCTAGAGGAAGAACAAAGAGCTTCTGAATATGCTTTGTCCCAAAATGGAGAGCAGACAAAAAAGGAAACTGATGTGACCATGGAGAAGCCTGGTGAAAATAATGACAAAGCAATTGTTCCACTGGAGGAAGGAAGCTTAATCACTGAAAAGCTTCAGAACTTAGAAATAGGGGAGCCAAAGAAACATGACATGCTTTTTCCTTATCTGCGGGAGTCGGATGTAGAAGACGAAGACGAAGATGAAGAGAGTAGAAAACAGCGCGGGAAAGGAAATGTCGAGAAGTGGCTTCAAATTCTGTTAGAGGAAAACCAAGAAAATGCTGCAGATCATCTCCAAAATGAAGTTGAAAGTAGTGGCACAGGCAAGACTAACGAAATAAGCACAAAACCAAATGCAGATTCCCCACGGAAGGAGGTCGAGATCCCGATAACTATAGAAGAGCAAAACAAAGAAGAAGATAAAGACAGGATTGTTGGAACTGAAGGAGGAGGCAGCAAAGCAGAAAAAGAAGTCAGTACTGAAGAGTGCGAAAAGAATGAGCAGAGTGGGAAGGAAAGAAGGCTCACAAGGACAGACAGTCCAAGGATCTTCAGGAGAATCCCATCTTCACCATCTCTGATCTTGGGGGGGATGAAGAAGGGAGTGGACTGTATGGGAAAGAAACCGATAGTAAACGGAGAAGACGATGTCGATGGCGAAAATCATGCTGCGAAAGACAGCTTCATCAAATCCTCTATCAAGACACTCAAGAAGGCAGTAAAAATATGAAACTTCCCTGTTTCAGTTGTGCCATTATTTGGTATGTTTTTTCTTGCCATATAGTGATTTTTTTTTTCTTTTCAGAGTGTTGGTTATTCTCTTGAAAGCCAATAAGTCAGTGCAATTATATGCGCTCTATGTAAAAGATTTAGTGCATTTCCATTCATGTGTATGTTTATAATATACGTTTTTTTTTAAGAATATAATATAKGTTTTTTGGTGTGGCAAAAGTACAATTTTATTTATAAACATTCTTAAACCGGATAATCTTTTATTAAAAAAAAAAAAGCAGATAAATTTTAATGGTTGAGTTTCATGTTTTGTCTTTATATTTTCAGCCTTATTAACTGAATTTAAAAAGTTTTAATTACATTTATGAGTATTTGATGGAATCCGAGTGCGATAATTCATTTTTAAAATTTGAATGAAATTGTGTGAYAGGACATCGATCAATTAGCGGTTAAAACAGGTGATCTGATTAAATTTGATAAATTTTTTGGACAATTCGTTTATTTGATCAATTTTTTGGACAATTTGTGTATTCTATTCCTAATTTTTCAAGKTTATTGTTCCTTCAAATTTTCAAATCTTTCCGATCGAGAAAAATAAAAATCAATATCTTAAAATTTCAATAATTTGTCTCTATGTTTTGCATTGATKACCTACTCGGTCAATTTGTCAAATTTGTCAACTATCATATTACCCACTTTATTTGCCTCCATCAAATTTGTCAACTAACCATCCTATCATCCACTTTATTTGTCAATATCAACTAAACCAACATCTCATCACTTGTCTCTAGAAATCAGAAGATTCATTGTCAATATCAACTAAACCAACATCTTATCACTTGTCTCTAGAAATCAGAAGTTTGAGTCTTCGTTACTTTATTAAAAACATAACATTCAAAATAATAATAAAAATAGTAATTAATTAATTAAAGTGGAAAGATTTGGTTAAAGTAAATCATCATAGATTGGTTCATTCGTACAAAGGGATAAAGTAAATCAAACCACTACTTAGAATTCATTTCCTTTGTAAGCTGGACAGTTTCTAACAAATTCACATGTTTGACAAATCAGACTCATCCAGAAAATCCATACAGCTTTTCTAAAACTATCATGAGATAAATGGAATTACAATAAAATTTGGGGGTTCCCCCCATTATATATAAATGCGATTACAAATACGGTACAAGAGCGATTAAATTATATTGAGGGCAAAAAAAAAGAAAGAGATTTAAGGAAAAAAGTCAGATCATACTGTCTTGGCTAATTTTTATTCTATAGAAAACTAACACAAAATTCTAAGCCAAACAAACCAACTTCTCCCTGTTTGTTTGAATTAGCGATGGGAGGACAAATCTAGGCGTTGGTTGGGGCTGAGGTTTCAGATGAACTGCTCGCAGAGTCTCCTGCTGTGGGGTTCAAAGGCGAGCGGCCCGCTAGGGAGCCGTTGTCACCGTCGTTCTGTGACACGACTGGGATCTTCACGGCTGATCTTTCCATCTCCTTCTCGAGCTCTTCTTCCCGGCGCAGAGCTGTGAACTGGCTGTCCAAGGATCTGGCTGCTCCCAACCATGCAAGGACGATGACCAACAGGATTCCTCCGAGGTATGGAGTCGAGTTGGCAAGAGACCCGAATGTCAAGATCATGAATTGTTGAATGAGAGCGCCTCCAGACTTCCCCAATGGGTTGCAGACGACGTCRATGGCAGCCTTCCCTTTGACCTGAAACACAAGCATTTGTCACGCAAAGCCAACGAAAAACGAATTCTCAAATAACGATTTCACAGTCGATGTACAAACGAATCATCAAACCATACCTTGGTATCCTCATCCAAAGGAATGTAAGCCATTTCTTTACAAGGATCAAACAAACTGTACTTGGCACTCTTGCTGAAGATGTTTTGCATAGCACCCACATAAACAGCAGCAAGAAGAGGAGTTAACCCAAACTGGGTAAGCATAGGCGCGATCGGGCCTCCAAACAAAATCAATGAAAAGAAAGCAACTCCGGTCACGAGGAGCACTGTGGGCGTAATATTGGCTGCAACTCCCCATCCATACTTGTTGAATATATATTGACTTAGCAACATCATTATGAACGTTACTATTCCGGTAGCAGTTGAGAAATCTCCCATGAAAGAAGAGTACTCGTTCGGGCTTGGAAACTGCACAGTTGATAAAGGGTATTACTTATTGAGCAAGCTGATTGATAGACAGACATTCCAAAGTCAAAAAGCAACAAACCTGTGCTTTGAGCTTCGATTTCCACGTAACCTCGACAAGGTTGATACTGATTCCATACGCGACCACCAGAGTGGCAAGATCCCTGATGTACCTTGAAGATGCCAAGAATTTCAAGCTCTCCATTGTCCCCATGTTAACCTTTTCCTGCAAATGAATGCAACAATCACAAATACTCAGAATCGCTTGTCGAAGAAAGATAACAGAAATAACGACTTTGCATATGTGGGTTAACAATAGCAACCGCACATGGATGCCGGGATATCAATTATTATCAATGCCATCATCCTAAATATAAATATAGCATAAGTTTCTTAAGAGGTTACCTTCTTCTTCTTGCTGCGAGTAGGAAGAGAAGCAAACTTATTCACCCACCAATAGAGGAAACAGATTGCAAGCCCCATACCGACCACAATACTCATCATTCCTTTTAGAGAAATTGCCCAACCATCAACTCCAGGACCCAAATTTTTCCTCAAATTCGAGAAATACTTCACGGTCCTACCCGAGAAAATGAGGGCAACATTTGCACCAAGTCCAAATAAGGGATAGAACTTTTTGGCTTCATCAACAGTTGTAATCTGCAGAAAAATGAATCAAAGAAGAGAAAGTTAACGAGCTAATCCATTCAAACTCTGCTTTGCTAAACATTGGTCACAGCTATACCCCTAAAAGAACCAGTAAATGGAGATAAATAGTTCTAACTTCAAGTCACTCCCCCAACAATATTTTTAGCAACATATAGATTTAACAAAACCATGCATTACCAAAACATAAGCCCAAAAATCAAACAGATAGAAGCTACTTCGAGGAKAAAACCATTTTGTTCCACAAAATACAAATGCAACAGCATTAATCCTGTTTCCTTCCACATATCATAAACATGAACTTAAACATATTTTACAATTCCAAACCAAGTATCGTGCCAGCAGAAGCAAAAACTAGCATCCAGATAAATCATTCAAAGAGTTTTGACATCGACTTCAATGGTATTAACATCCATCCAATCCGCATTCAAATGAGATCCAAATCGATAGCAGCAGTCAACAACACACAAAAAAAAAACACATCATAAATAACAAAATTCAGATTCAATAGTCTGAGTCTAAAGACAAAGCCTTAGAATCTATACCTGATTGGCAAATCCCCAGAACAGAACAGAAACCACCACGCTTCCCCACAACTCAGCCATCACATAAAACAAACAGAAGCTCCAGATCCTCATAATAGCCAGAGGGCCAAGGAACCTCGGGCCAAGCGTGTTGAGAAGCTTATCAGCAAAAGCTTCGGGGTGGATATAGTTGCTGAGGGGATACAAAAGAAACCCAAAAGCCCCAAAGAAGGCAATGAATGGGACGATAACTGTGTAGAACAGGGCCTGCCTAGGCAGCGCATTGGCCAACTTGGTATACAGCAACATAAAACCAACAGCCATAGGCAAATTAACCCAAGTCTTCAAAAATGGAATAATCTCTGCGCTGCTACCTTTAGCCGTCACAACCAACACATCCTTCGTATCCCTAAGAATTGTGTAATTAAAAAGGATGCAAAAGAACATAAGCCCGAGAGGGATAATCTTCTTGAGGGTCTCAACCTCAATCCCCAGAAACTTAGGGCTCTCAGTTTCCGCAAACGCCGGCTGTCCATCGGCGGCGGCGGCGGCGGCTTCGGCCTTGCAGATTAGGGAAACTCGCTCTTTGGGACAGAGCGAGGGATTTTTGGGGACAAATCCCTGAAATCTTTGGAACCCATTAGAGGAAAGGGAAAACCCAGGAAGATTTCGGGGCTTTGTGGATAAAATCCTATGGCGGAGGCCGTGAGAAGGCAATAAGCTCCTGGTTTTGGGATTTGGGGGTAGAGAAAGAAGCCCTTTGCTCTGTAAAACGGCCTCCATGCCTCTCTCTGATCCCTTCGAGAAAAGAAATCCGATGGATTTGGCCTTTCAAGAGGAGAGCATAAGAGAGACACAGATAAGGAAGGAGGATAGAAGATAGAGGAAAAGGAAGGAAGATAAGAAGATAGCAGCAGGGAATTGCAATTTCCTTCTCGAGAGGATGGGTGAGCATACAAATATCTTTTATACAAACTGCAGAAAATCAAAAACCCTCGAAATCTTTCAGAGAACAAACGCCAAAATACTAATAAAAATCAAAAAATGACGGACGGAATAATATGAAAACAATTAACGATTAACCTTTTTTTTCTTTTGTTGACAGAAGTTTGATTGTGGCTAATCCGTTTGTGCCAACGTTCATGTTTTCGTGTTTTTTGTTGGTTGTTTTTGTGTTTTTTGATTGTTGTTTTTTGTTTTTTGTTTTCTACTTTTTTTAATAAGTAAAAATTTGTTTGTTGTTTTTTTTTTCTCGTTATTTTTTATTGTAGAACAATAAATAAAAATATAATGGTAACTCTTTATTGCTTCAGTTACTCTCTAATATTTTGYCTTTTAACTTTTGTTCATTTTTGTCTTTAAACTTTTGAAACATCCTTTTGGATTCCTAATTTAATAAAGGGATGGTTTTTGTCTCTTTATTTTATCTTTTTATTTCATTTTCTTCAATCATAGTTAAACAAAAACTAAAAACATAAATAATAAACAAAAAACAAAACGCTTGATTTTACWTTTTTTAAAATTTTTACACAAATTTAGAAACGYTTCTTAAAAATAAGAAACGATAAACAGAGACAATTATCAAACGCTTACATTTCCAGAAAAAATTTTGAAAATAAAAAACAAAAAGCAAGAAATAGAAGTATCAGTATCCGGGTACTTAAAATCTAAATAGCTATTATAGCTATTATGATTTTCTTTTGTATAAGTTAGCCACTAAGGGAAAAAAAAAATTTATCCTAATTAGTTATTTAAATGTTAAATTGTGAATCAAGCCCGTAGTTGGGTCCACTAGTTGAAATTAAAACTAAAGGGTAACATTTATTATCTATCAAAATTCGTTTCATTTAAAGTTTATTTCTTTTAAGAAGGTTAAAATACTACTTTACTTGAATTTTATCTATTTCAATTCCTAAATTTTAAAATATTAAAATTTAGTCTATAAATTCGTTCTCTGATAAAGTTTACAAATAGTCCTCATTATTAATTTATGCTTAATTTTTTTACAATAAAAGAGAAAGAAAATAGACTCTACAAACATTTTTGTTAAAAATGATATTATTTTTAATAATAAAGACAGAGTCACAGACTTGCAAATCAAATTGCCTATGCAAAAAAGGGAAGAATCATGGGACGAAATTAATTTGTCATCGGTACGAAATGTCCAGAATGCCCTCCCACGGAAGATATTTTTCGAGGTTTTGCCAGTTGGTTATTAAAGTGCCACGCTCCCTTTTTTGCCCTTTTTTCTCATTTCTTTCCAATGAAAACTGCGCATTAGAAAACGATGTAATGCTTTTTGTCCACCAAATAACAAAAAGTGCATCTCATTTACCTTTTATGTTTTTTTCTTGATTTTTTGTGGGCTGAGCATTGTAATTTTATTTTTTCTTTTATTCAAAATTTTAAATATATTTATAAAAATATCATAACTTTTATTTTTCTTAAATATAGCATATGTAGCATATGTGTGACTTCATGAGAAATTATCTCTCGACTTTCATTAGATGAACGATTTAGTATCTAAACTTTGAGTTGAAACGATCTARTTTTTTGTACTTTTAAATTGCTCATAATTAGTCCTCTTAACTTTAGTATGCAGTTCTAGAATTTTAGTATGCAACTTTTTTGTTTATATARTTTAAAATTACTAATAATTTAGTCACTGCCATGAAAAATCACATCATAATTCAATGTTGAATTTTATCATCTAGCAATTTTAGTATTCGTAATTTATAAATACATTTTYCATAATTAGTTTATGGATATTTTCTTATGAAAGAAATTGTCACGAAATTTTGAAGCTAAATTCATAATAAATTGAAATATAAAGCATTACGGATAAAAACTACTAATATTTGTTGAATTTGCTTTCTCTATCACATAAATTTAGATATTTTTACTAAACAGATAAATCAAAATTGTTACTTCATATTATCTATTTTGAGTATTTTGTATTTACGTGTTCAACGACTCATTGTTTAGATATAAATTCAAATATTATAGTTATGGAAGAGACTCACCAACATTTTTACTACTACTCCTAGAAAACGAATAATCACTCGGTATTAGACCAACAAGTATAAAGAGATTTACCAACACTAACTCATCTTTTGTCATCACAATTCGTTGTAATCGTCAATGTCATCACAAACTATGAGGAAGCTAGAGAAATAGCTAAACTTAATAATTAGTTGTATATTATTTTATTGTTAGATCTAAATTTTGGTATGATATAAAATTATTGTTAAGTTATGTTCGCAAATTAAAATTTTTAACTTTCATCTCCAAATTGACAATAATTTTATTTTAAACTAAATTGTAAATCAAAAATGTTTTCCAATAAAATTATCCATTTCTCTTTCTCTTAAAGTAGTTAAACTTTACTTTAAATTAGTTTGAATAAATAACGTTTAATTACAAATTTAAATATACAATTTTTGCAATAATGAAATCTCTACAAAGCTTTTAGTTATTTTAAAAATATTWTATTATAACATATATGGTGAATGTTCTAACAGATACTTTAAGTATTTAGTTTATTTGTTAAATAATATCAATTCGAAAAGAAATTTGCATTTTTTAAAGGTTGAATTGAATTACATATTTTCTTGCTTTTTTTAGAGGGAGGAAATAATGATAATAATAATAATAATAATAATCAAAACAAAAAAAGGGAGGAAGAAAAAAAAAATGGCCACCCACCCCGCTAGAATCGGATCCAGGTCAGCAGTGGGGCCCACATATTGCTTACGTTGTACCCAGCCATGGTTATGGACAGACAGCACAGCCTTCTTTATTAAATCAATCAATTTAATTAAATAATTAATTAATTAAACTTAACGATGGGTTAGGAGAGTACACGTCAGCAGACTCTCACATTGAGAGTCAAGACGAGTGGCTGGGCTCAACTTTCTTTTCCCCCTCCGTCCACTAATTAATCATTTCACCTTTTTTTAGTGACCAAAAAATAAAAATATTTTATTTTTTGAGGAAGTGACAAATTAAATTATATTTTATTTTCAGTACCCGATRGCTACTTAGATAAAATAATGCAATGACCAGTGGATACACGAATATTTTATATACCTTTGATTGGGTGACGTAGGAAATAAAAAACAATATTCAAGAATTTATCTTTTATCGCCATTTTCGAATTGTTTCTAAAGTTCTTTTCATTACAAATTCTCCTTACGAGAACTTATTTATTAGGTATGTATTAAAAAAATTAAGAAATAATCAGAGCGAGTAATTAAGTGAAGAGATATATAAATATCCTAAAATAAATGTGTGTTTCTAAATAACATAAATATTAAATTCTACAAAAATGGTTATTTGAATTTAATGTAAAGTAAAGCATGCTGAAAATTTTAAATATATGCTGTATTTGAAATATTGAATAGTTGTGACTTTTTAAAAATACCTATTAAATTAATGTTCTTTGTTAAGGAAAAAATTAAATAAAAGCAACTAACATCTAATTTGATAGATCCACGCCATTAACTTGCTGAAGCTGTGGAGCAATTTCCTCCAGCAACCAAGACTCCTTCGATTCCTTCACCTACCGTGCAGCTCCCCACTGCATAAGCTATGTACGGAGCTTCATTTTGGCTGACAATGGTGGAAAAGTATCTCTTCGAATAGGTATGTCTTCAAAATTTCCTGTGCAATCATCTCTTCAGTTGATAGATTCTCTTTACCCGTTTGTGGCGCTGCGGCGCTGTAATTATGAGATAAAAGCTCAATCTTCGTCTACAAGTGCTGTGATGCGGTGTGATGGTGTTACTTCTTCGAATTTTTGCTCTCATCTCTGTCCTGCGAGTGCCATGGCACTGTGATGCTTCTTTGGCTGGAATTAAGCTTTTCCTATGTACTTTGACTCTGATTTTCTTCTCAATTAAGATCACTTATGGTCGAATTCTTTCTAATGGTTTGTTATTGTAAAAATATAATTTATATATAGATATGTCAATACTCCCCTCACTTGTAATTTTTGGAAAGTTGTTGAAAAGTTGTACAAGATCCAACAAGTGGAAATGATAACATAGGATCTGGTACAATATTAAATATGATTAAATGATCGATCAATCCAAAACCTTAAGCTAATAGTTTAAGGTAAATTCAATTCATATATAGATATCTCAACAATTAAATTACAAAAATATAACATGGATCCAAATATGGTCAAATTCAATAAAGGTATCAATTACCATCTCTAAAGATTGATGGTTTGATCCTCACTAGAATACAATTGATGAACTGAAAGAATGTTTAAATATTATTTTGTTCAATGTGCTTTTGTCTTTTTTTTTTCATATTGTACTTTCAAAACATATATCCGATCACGGTAGTTTTAAAAAGTGAGAATTTGGATCCATATCAACACAAATTTTATACACAATTAAAATCTTCTTGATACAAATTTATGGCTACATCTCAATAAATTTGAATAATTAAAAATATAGAGACTAACTAAAATAGACATTTTATTAATACAAGAACTAAAATAATATATAATTTTTAAATTAGTAGAGATCTAGAGCAGAACATACTGATTCTTCTGCTCACAATAAAGAAGTTAAATTAATCTATCGTATTATTATACTATTCATCTCGAGACATTCCATGATCCATCCCTATTGAAAAAATATACATTATTTTGAAAAAACTAGATTACAAAAATGGAAATGAAGATGAAAATAATAAATCATTTTCATTGGAAAAGGAAGCTGCCACGGAATCTGTGCAGTACAGCCCTAAGTTCCAAAAAAGAAAATAAAAGT